TATGGGCAAACTTTCAATGCTTCCCCTACAACATAAAACTTACGTACTTCCCCTCATCCAACTGTCCATTTTGAATGGAGGGCTAAGATTGCTCCAATCACAATGTCACGTCTCTATATTATTTTATTTTTATTTTTATTTCTATAAACTATTTTGACACCAAATTTTGTACGTCCAATCCTCTATTGAACTCACACTAGCGAAAAATATAAAAATAATATTTTCAATAAAATAAAATGATGAAAATACCCTTGAAATTTTCAAGAGGTATTTTGGTTATTATATTTTATAGAAAAATTCTTTTTAATATTTTTTATAGATGTGCCCCAATGAGAAGATGGTACGTACCAAATTTCATATTCATACAATTTGTATAAAACAAACTAAAAATAAAATACTTTGAAACGTCGGATCTAAGATCAAATAGTGAGTGGCTCTCTTGATCAAAATTGGATGGCTGGATGGTAAGGGAAGCATACATCTTCTATACTGTAGGAGAAGTATAGAAACCTTTCTCTCTCTCTATATATATATATATATAAGAGGGGCTTTTAAGAGGAATTTAGCGAGGACACGTACCATCCCAAAACCAATTCTGTCCCAACCGATTCCCGCATTCCAGAACTGAAGGCGTTGGATTTTTAAATACTAGTACTTTTCAAAGCAAAACACAACAAAAAATAAACGGTCTTTTTTATACATTTCCTTTACATTAGTTTTTCTAAATTTTATGAAGTCTATTTCTTGAGTGACGATCACTCGTAATAACATAAACAAAACAACAGTTTAAAGGATTGTTTAGGTGAAATACAATTTGCATAGCGTACGATCAATCGTCTCTGTCAGAATAGGATAGGGCTGGATCGCCCACTTTCCACTCACTATATATTTTTTATTATGGGCAGTTGGCATACGGATGCATCCGTAGCTGTAGAGGTAAGGTGCACATTCAAATTTTATCATGATATATAAATTTGATGTAAAATGTTTTTAAGATTATTTCAAAATCTATTTTTATATTTAATTATAAAATTTTAAATTTAAAAAATGGTTACAATCAAGTAGATCTAAAAACATATGAAAATCTTGAAAATAGACGGTATAGATAATATGTTGTAAAATATATTATTTTTGAGAATTATTATTATTTTTATTTTTCATGGTTATACATCTCGATGTCGAGATGATCAATCAAAAAGGTTTTTCAACATTAAAACTACTTTTTCCGATGGATTTTTGATATGCATCCATAGCTCTATATGAAAAAGTTGCAACTTTATGTAAACTTTTTTCTGTTTTATGATTTATTTATTTTTTTCTACTCTTTTTATTTGTATAGACTAGAATCGATAAGATTTGTGCACTCGAATTTGAGTGGGCAACGGGGCAAGACTCCCTTACCCCTATTCCCCACAAGGCCGGCGTTGGCCCTATCAAGGCCAAGCAAGGCCTTAATGACTCAGGCCTAGCTATCCCGCTGTCTTATGGGCGTGGTTGCCTAGGCCTGGCCTGACCCTTGGGTTACATTTATGGCCTAGACCATATATCTTTAGATTCGGGCTAACATGGCCGAGCGGATCCGGGTGGCATACATGACTTTTCTCACACGCACGAAGTATACATGACCTTTCCACGTGCATAAATCACAGCCCATAGAAACTCACGAGCCACGTCCGCCATAGGGAACGAGTGGATTACTTTAAAAAACACATTATCCTTGCTACTTTTAAAGGCCCCACTTTCAGCTATATCCCTCCCCCTTCTCATGCCACGTGTTTCAAACATGACGTGGACCGTTCTTTTTCCCACAATTCCCAGCCGGACTTGTAACAAGCCACCCAAGTTTTCTCTCTCTAAATCCCTCACTACATGTAACCAACGCAATTCACCATTCTGCTCTCGCCTCACGGCTCTCTCTCTCTCTCTCTCTCTCTCTCTCTCT